TCCTCCCGCCAGTCCATCCAGAAGTACGTGAAAAGCCACTACAAGGTGGGCCAGCATGCCGACGCCCAGATCAGGCTCTCCATCCGGCGCCTGCTCGCCGCCGGCATCCTCAAGCAGACCAAAGGGGTCGGCGCCTCCGGCTCTTTCCGCTTGGCCAAGGCCGACAAGGCAAAGAAGTCCCCGGCCAGGAAGAGGAAGAAGGTGGCCAGGAAATCCACGTCGCCCCGGAAGGTGGCTAGGCCCAGGAAAGCCAAGTCACCAGCAAAGAAGCCCAAAGCTGCCACCAGGAAAGCCAGGAAGAAGTCAAGGGCCAGCCCAAAGAAAGCCAAGAAGCCAAAGACTGTTAAGGCCAAGTCGCTGAAGGTGTCCAAGCCCAAGAAGGCAAAGCGGTCGAAACCCAAAGCCAAGTCCAGTGCTCGGAAATCACCCAAGAAGAAGTGAGAAGCCTAGAGGCGTTTTGGTACTCTCCCCTTTGGTTTCTGTAAATAGCTTTTGCCTTCATTTTTACCCCTCTCTATTGCGTTTTATAAAGAATTGATTTATTCCTGTCTGGAAATACCTAAAATAAGGCAGTTAATGAAAGAAAAAAGAAACATCTTTGGTACGGGGAGTTCCCATTTTTAAGAGTTACTGGTCTGGGTTTTTATTTTGATGTCTCGGAAATTTCTGGTGTGTCTGTTGTTTTTTTTTTTAATGCTGGGCTGCTTGTTGTGTGTTGGGAGAGATGTGTGTGTCTGTCAAGGCCGTACAGGATTTCCATTCCTGATCCTGCCCCAAGCTCCTGTGTGGTTGTGTGTTTGCTGGGGCCGGGCAAAGACCATGTTGGAGGGGAAGCGGGAACATGCGGCTGCGAGAGCCACGGCCTTCACCAGAGGAGGAAAAGGGGCTCCCTGCTCCCTCCTCCAGCCTGGCTCCCAACCACGGGGCTGAGGCGAGGTATGTTGGGCTGCTGGGTGTGAGGTCTGGCTGCTGCTGGAGATAACTGCCCGTCCGGGTGATGGGGCTGCCTGTGGGACCTGCCATGGTGCAGCTGGGTGGTGGCAGGGACTCCTGGGGCAGGGATGGGACAGAGGAGGTGGAGTGGGGACAGGGTCTGTCCACGCTTGCTTTCAAGGGGTTGGAGGTGTCCAGCAAAGGGAAAGGGGTTGATCCCTGGGGAGAAAGGACAAACACGGCTTTGAGCAGCTTTGGTCTCCGGGGAGGAATGGACATGAGCACAGCAGTGGGCAGCTCCGCAGGCGGGCTGGGGTGTGCAGCCAGGACAGGGTGAGGCAGGACTGCTGGGCACGGCCCCACTGTCACTTCAGGGCTCTGGCTTTGTGCCCAGTGGGGGCTGGCATGGCTCCAGGGCTTGCCTGGCCCTGCCTGGCCCCTGCCAGCACCCCTCCCCAGGCAGGGCTGGGTGGTCCTGACAGCCGGGGCAGGCAAGGAGCCTGCTTGTCAGCCCTGCTGCTCAGCAGGGTCTGACAGCCTCGGGTGGGAGGTTCCTAATCCCCTTTTGCTAGAAACATCTAAACTTCTTGGATGTCAGGATCCCCAACCACCTGGGTCAGGAACTCTGAAATCCCAGGGGCTGTGGGTGCCCATTCCCTTTGGGCTTGCTGTGCTTAAATCTTGTGGGCCTGGGGTCTTCACCCTCCCCGATGGTAACTCCCTGATCCATTGGCCTGATGATCCTAAATCACCTGGGCAGATGGTGCCTGAGCCTGTTAGCTATCAAGGATCCCAAATCATGTAGTTCAGGGTACTGAAATCCTTGGCTTGGGGGCACTTAATCCCTTTGGGCCCTTTTTCCTAAGACCCTTGGACAAAAAACTCCCAGACCATATAGGCTAGAGACCCTAATCCCTTTCAAGAGCCTGGTGCCTAATCCTCCTGGACATCAGGGGTCTAAAAACCACTCTGGCCACAGGATTCCCAATCAGCTGTCGTGGGGGATGGAGACGCCTGACTCAGCTGGACCCTTTCTGTCTAAACCCGGCGGGTCTGTGGGTCACAAGCCCCTTCAGCCAAAGGTGCTCAGATTCCTTGGGCTCAGGTACCTAATCTCCTTCAGCTGCTAGGTCCTAAACCTCTCACTCATTGGTCACCTCAGCTGGATGCACCTAAGTCCTATAGACCCTTGGTTCATTATCGCCTGTGGTGGGCACCCATAAACCACCTAGATGTGAAGATCCAAGTCACCTGTACTGAGGACCCCAAATCCCTTAGGTGGGGGCACCTAATGCTCCTGGGCTTGTTGCTCCTCAAGGCCATGATGGCCTCTGCTTCAAAATCCCTCAGGTCCTAACAGAATCACAGAACCATAGAATCATTAAGGTTGGAAAAGACCTCTAAGATCATCAAGTCCAACTGTCAACCCAACACCACCATGCCCACTAAACCATATCCTGAAGTGCCACGTCTACACGTTTTTTGAACACTTCCAGTGATGCTGACTCCACCACCTCCCTGGGCAGCCTGTTCCAATGTTTGACCACTCTTTCAGTAAAGAAATTTTTCCTAATATCCAATCTAAACCTCCCCTGGTGCAACTTGAGGCCATTTCCTCTCTTCCTGTTGCTCGTTACTTGGGAGAAGAGACCAACACCCACCTCACCACAACCTCCTTTCAGGTAGTTGTAGAGTTGTAGAGATAAGGTCTCTCCTCAGCCTCCTTTTCTCCAGACTGAACAACCCCAGTTCCCTCAGCTGCTCCTCATAAGACTTCGTTGACCTCACCAGCTTCGTTGCCCTTCTCAACGAAGGGCATACAGTTCCTAAATCCCATGGATGGGGTTCCCCCAAATCCCTCAGACTCCAGA